GTCTTGACCCATTTGGAGACGTAGTCCATAGCCACTAAGATATATGTCATGCCATACGAGCTCATGAAGGGGACCATGAAGTCTATCCCCCACACATCAAAAATTTCGACCTCCATTACAAAATTTATAGGCATCTTATGTATTTTAGATATTTACCCTTGTCTTTGACAATGATCGCATGCCTTGATCATTTGATTTGCATCTTGGAAGATCGATGGCCAATAATAGCCACATTCAAGCACTTTTGCCGCCGTCCGGTTCCCTCCATGATAACCCCCAATCGGGGAGTCATGGCATGCTTTGAGAATTGGCATTACCTCATCTTCCGAAACACACCATCGAATGACGTTGTCGGCACAAATACGGAACAAAAAGGGTCTCTCCCAATAGTATTGCCAACACTCCCGCAAGAACTTTTTCTTTTGATAAGCTTCCAATCCATCGGGAACAAGGTCACTAACCAAAAAGTTAGCGATGTCGGCATACCAAGGAGCGAATGTGCCAGACAATGACAATATGTGCTCATCTAGAAAGGCATCATTGATTTCAAGGTATTTTTTTGGTCTCCCTACCTCTTCAAGCCTAGATAGGTGATTCGCAAATTGATTTTCTGTCCCTTTCCGATCCTTGACTTCAAAGTCAAACTCTTGCAACAAAAGGGCCTAGTGAATCAATCTTGGTTTGACATCCTTCTTCTCCATAAGATAGCGAAGAGCAGCATGATCGGTGTAAACTATCACTTTGGACCCCAACAAATAATTCCGAAATTTTTCAAAAGCATAGACAATGGCAAGAACTTCTTGCTCAGTCACAATGTAATTCATTTGAGCGCCATTGAGTATCTTGCTTGCATAGTAGATAGGGTGAAGGATTTTGTTATGTCGTTACCAAGTACCGCCCCACTAGCTACACCACTAGCATCACACATGAGTTCAAATAGAAGAGACCAATCGGGTGTGACAATAATAGGTGACGTGGTGAGATTTTCTTTCAATTCCTCAAAAGCTTTGAGACACTTCTCATCAAATATAAACTTTACATCTTTTTTGGGGAGCTTACACATGGGATTTGCAATTTTTGAGAAGTCCTTGATGAAACGCCTTTAGAAGCCAGCGTGCCCCAAAAAGCTTTGGACACCTTTTACTGAAGTGGGTGGAGGAAGCATGGAAATGATTTCGATATTTGCCCGGTTAAACTCTATGTGTTTGGAAATTTTGTGGCTTAAAACAATGCCCTCGTCCACCATGAAGTGGCACTTCTCCCAGTTTAGCACAAGGTTTGTTTCTTCATATCTCTTGAGCACTTATCTAAGGTTGTCAAGACAATGCTCAAAGGAATCACCCTCTACAGAGAAGTCATCAATAAACACCTCTAGGAAATCTTCCACCATGTCCAAGAAGATTTACATCATGCACCGTTAAAAAATAGCTGGGGCATTGCATAGCCCAGATAGCATACGACTAAAGGAAAAAGTCCCATATGGGCATGTGAATGTTGTCTTCTCTTGATCTTCCAAGGCGATATTTATTTGGTAATAGCCGAAATATCTATCCAAGAAGCAACAGAATGAACTTCCCGCTAGCCGAGTGAGCATTCGATCAATAAAAGGCATAGGGAAATAGTCCTTGCATGTAGCACTGTTTAGCTTCTGGTAGTCCATGAAAACTCTCCACCCGATCACTATTCTCATTGGGATGAGCTCATTTTTGTCATTTTGGATCACGGTCATGCCTCCTTTCTTTGGCACACATTGCACCGGACTCACCCATGAACTATCGGCAATAGGGTGGACCACCCCGGCATCTAACCATTTGATGATTTCTTTATTTACCACCTCTTGCATGGAAGAGTTTAACCTTCTTTGATGCTCCACACTTGGTTTGCTCTCTTGCTCCAATTATATCTTGTGCTCACAAATTCCAGCAGGAATCCCTCAGATGTCCCTATTGTCCACCCAATAGCTTGCCTGTGCTCCCTCAGGATATTCAACAAGTGTTCTACCTACACATCATTCAACAAAGAAGAAATGATTACCGGTAGAGTTTCATTAGAGCCAAGAAATTTATACCTCAAGTGCGGTGGAAATGGCTTGAGCTCAAGTTGTGGCAGTTTAATAATTGAAGGCTTGGTGGGGGGAGTGACTCTATTCTCTAAGTCAAGAGAAAGTTTCTTTGGTGCATAAGTGTAGCACCTAAGTCCTTCTAATGCATTCACCGATTCCATGTACCCCTCCATGTCTTCACCATCAAAATTCACCAAAATAGCCGCCAATGCCTCACCAAGGAATTCTTCTTCCATCTTCATCTCGATTGCGTCTTCTACCTCATCAACAATATCAATGACTGAGATGCTTTCATATGCATGTGGCAGCTTCATACCTTTGCTCTCTTGAAAGGTAACCTCTTCGTCGTTAACTCGGAACTTGATCTCATTTCGTTCCAAATCCATAAGTGCTCTTTCGGTAGCAAGGAATAGTCTCCCCAAGATGATAGGGATTTCTTTGTCAACAACACAATCAAGGATCACAAAGTCCGCGGGGAGGAGGAACTTTCCCACTTTCACAAGAACATCATCAACAATCCCCACCGGTCTCTTTATTGAACGATCGTCCATTTTCAACCTCATACTTGTAGGCCTTGGCATACCTAACCCCACTTGCTTGTAAATAGCAAGAGGCATTAAATTTATGCTAGCCACATTATCACAAAGAGCTCTTGCAAAATCGCACAACCCAATAGTGCATGGAATGGTAAAAGCTCCCGGGTCTTCTTTCTTTTGAATGGTGGTTGTTGCAATGATGGAACTAACCCGGTGACTCACATTCACCACTTCATTCTTGGTGGTTTTCTTATTGGTTATCAAGTTTTTCAAATACTTGGAAAAACCCGCATCTCTTGAAATGCTTCCACAAATGGAATATTCAACGATAATTGCTTGAGAATGTCGTAGAACTTCTCAAGTTTTCTATCATCAAACTTCCTAGCAAGTCTTTGAGGAAAAGAAGGAGGAGGTCTAGGAATTGGTGGTAGATTTTTTGGTGTCTCTGTCACCTTTTCCTTAACCTCTTCCAGGTTCACTTCTTGAATTTTCACCTCTTCTGGGACTTTTTTAGCTTCAACAACAATTGGCACCTAAACTTGTGCCTCAACTTCTTGTTCAGAATCTTCCACTTCAACCAATTGCTCATTCTCTCCTTGAAGTATTTTCCCGCTCCGAGTTGTAATTGCCATACAATGAGAAGTTGGATTGCTCCCACTACCTTTTGGGTTTTCAACTGTGTCACTTGGGAGTGTGCCATTTTGCTTCGAATTTTGCTCTCTTGAGAGATCTCTCATTTGCATCCCCAACTTTTGAATAGATGCGGTATGAGAACCTACAAGCTCAGTCATATTCCTCATTTAAGTGTCAGATCTTTCTTGATTTTTCAATACTCGTTCAAGCATGTTTTCCAACTTGGAATCACTTGAAGAACTTTCCTTCCAATGCGGAGAGTTGGAATATTGCCCCTTTGGTGGAACATATGGGTTTGAGCTTCGATTTGAAAAGTTGTTGTTGTTGTTTCTCCAATTCCCTTGATTTGAACTACCTTGGTCATTTCGTCACTGTTGGTTGCCTTGCCCTTGCGGGTTAGGCCTCCATTGGTTTTGTTGTCTTGAACCTTAGTAGGGTTGACTTTGATAACCTCCTTGAGAGTTGTTGACATAATTTGCTTCCTCGTAATCCTTATTTGATGTGGGTTGAACATCTTCCACCACATTCACCTTTTTTGTTTGGCTTTCGGTGAACATCTTCGTCAACACATTGACGTTGGTGGCAAGCCCGGAAATTACTTGATCTCTTTCTTGGTTCTCCTTAATCATGTTGGTCAGGGAAGGAGTACCATATGCAATTCCACCTGTGGTGTCCTCTGAGTGCCAAGCTTGGTTATGTATTGCCATTTTGTCAAGGATTTGTGTGATCCTCGCAAATGTTTTATCCATAAAAGATTCATCTGCTGCATTTTTGGCTATAGATTGATTCATAGGATCCAAGACCATGTAAAATTTCTCCAACAAGATAGATTCCAGAAAACCATGATTCGGCGACCTCACTAAATATAGCTTGAATCGATCCCATGCCTCATGTAGGTGTTCTCCATGTAATTGCTTGAAAAAGAAAATTTTATCCCAGATCTTAGACTTCTTGCTTTGCGGGACCCATTTAGCTAGGAAAGCATGAACGAGTTCAGGCCAAGAATGAATGGAATTTGGTGGTAGATTTTGGATCCATTTCCTTGCCTCTCCAGCCAGTGAGTACTTGAACACCCTCAGTCTTAGGGCATCATCTGAAACATTATTTTGCTTGTGCATCGCACACACACCCAAGAAGTTTCTGAGATGTTGTGTCAGATCATCATCATTGGAATTTCTGAAATATCCCTTTGCTTTGAGCATTAGGATTAAACCGTGTTCCACGTTGAAAGTGGCAGCATGAACTCTTGGAGGAACAATGGCATTTATATCCTCAATGTACTCATCAATATCTGCAAAAGGATTCTCTTCTTCGTAATACTTGGCCATGTTATCCTAGTAACACCAAGCAAAGTAAGCAAAGTGTGATAGAGTAGAAGAAGACGTAAAGTAAAGCACACACTAATTGGTAATTTCAAAACCGTATTCCCCAGCAACAACGCCAAAATTTGATACGCTCAAATTACACTTAAATAAATAGTGTAAGGCAGTCAGTATCAAATATAATAACCCAACAAGGTTAGGGTTGAATCCCACAGGTAATAGGTGTGAAAAAGTTACTTGAATAGTGTGAAACTTGACTTAAGTTGTAATTATATTTCTTTAGCTTTAAAAGAGAATGATAAATTTGTGAATTAACAAGAGAACTATTTTGTTGTGAGAATGTAATTAATTTGATTTAGGAAACCAAGGTTGTGTCCCCATCAATGAAATGTAATGCTATCGGTGTTAGTATGATATATTTCTAATGGAAGGTCCTTTGATATGAAAATGGCCTTTGACATGCAAATGGTTTCTAAATGACTACCCAATATTTCCCAATGGTTGGTTAGTATTTTATCTTTATGATTTTTCCAAATATAAAAGAGTTGCAATTAATAATAACCAATTTATGCCAAGTAGAACTCACTTATCCATACACGATTCTATTAAACAAGGTTTAAAGCCTTGAGTTCTTAATATTCACTTCTACCAAACCCTAACCCACTTTTTCAAGTAAAGATATAGTAAAATGGAATAAGTCAATATTTGCAACCACCAACAATAAATAAAGCATAAGAAATGAATAAATATCAACCAACCATTATATATATATTCAATTTTAAACACCCATTAATATTATACCCATTTAGGGTCCACAACCTTAGTATTTAAAACTAGCTACTCATACTAGAATACAAAAATAAAGCAATAAATAAAGTCATAAAGCTTACAAAGGTACAAGATTCTCTCTTCAAAAGCTTCCAAAAATAATGGTGTCTTCAATGCCTTCAATGTAGTCCATTTTTCAGACTCAATGACCCACAAAAATTCTAGTAAATCTATTTATAGTGGAGTAAAAGTCGGGGTCAAGATTGGACAAAAATGACCCTACAGAGCCCTTCTGCGACCGCATCATGGTCACAGACCATGTATGCAGTCCTCATAGTTGACACTTGCATCGTAGAATTTCAGATCTTCAAGCCCAGATTTCCATCGCATTTCCATTATGCGGTCTACATATCAGTTATGCGACCGTTGCAAAAGTGCTATGCAGATTCTTCAATTGCAATTATGAGGTCATTATGCGGTTCGCAGAATTGTTATGCGATCGCATAATGGACCGCACATTCTTCTCTTCAGTTGGCTAAAATTCTGCTTCCGTTTGTTGTGATTATACGGTTCGCATATTACTTCTGCGGTCGCATACTTGCAGCATTCTCTCAATTTGGTGGCTTTTTGACTTATTTTTCATATTTTTGGGTCTTCAAGTCTCATGCACTACAAAACACCAAAACTTCATAAGAGTTAATTACAAATGCATTGAAAGACGAGCTAAAGTCAATGTAATTGGTATCAAAAGTGCCAAAATTCTATGGCACATCACCTCCCTAGGGGTCAACGTCTAAGAGACCCATCACGAAGTTGCAAAATAAGGAAGAACTTGAGTCAGTTTTAAGGAAAAGCAAAAAGGAAAAGAAGAAGAGGAGATTGGTGAAAGATGGAAAGGTTTTTCATGAGAAGGCAGTGCCTCCTGAACTAGTCGTGAATGTTGATGATGAGGTAGAGGAGGAACTTGGTTGTTCATAATTCCTCAAAGAACTTTATTGTTCCAAAGTCCAAAAGGGAATCAAAGGAGTTGAGAAAGGTTGAGGGTGACAAATCTGGTAGAAAAGAGAGGGAGAAAGTAGTTGAGCATTCCTGTGAAAACGAGGCTGAGGAGTTTGTTGAGAAGATCTCCAGAAAATCTATAGACAAAGGAAAGAGTGTAAGAAAATCAGTGAAGCGAAAGGCAGGTGATAGTGAGTAAATTGGTTCCTCCAAAAAGGCCAAAGTGAATGTTGATAGGCATGAGGAAAGGGAGAATTTGAGAAATCAGAAGGTGCTTTGGAGCCACACATTTTCCCCTAATATTATTGATATTTTAGGAATGCACCAATTGGCTGACATCTTGTTGCAGCCAAACGCACACGTAAGTATACGCGGTCGTCAGGTAATAAAGTGACTAAAAGTCGGATGTCGAACCCACGAGGACTTGTGATTAACTATTAACTAAATTAGACTATCCTAATTATCTAAACAAGAATTAAACCTAGAAATATTTGATTCTAAACTAATTAAAATAAAGAAAAAAACAAATAATGAGCGTTGAACAAAATAAGAGCATATTTTTATGTTATCAATGTAATGAAAACGATCTAGGGTTATGGGCTATCTAACACTCCTATTGTACTCTTCAATTGAATGGACTAACTAATTTATCTAGTTTATTGGTTAACAAGGTTAATATTGCTCATAAGAATCTGTCCAGTTCTTACTCGCCTATTCAAACTAACCTAACGCCTATATGTCTAGGGAATTAGAACTAACAAGAACTAATTTATAATTTCTTGAAATCAACAAAGCAAGACAATTAGGTATATGTATATCCTAACCGCGAATACGGTCCCTGATGCCCAGGTTCAAGAACTTGCTCTACTCAATCCTATATGCAATTTAGAATTTCCACTTTCGAGTTCAACTCTAGATTCTTAGAAAGTATTTAATTGGTGATCAAGCAATCAAATAATTAAGCACATGATTAAATAAATAAACCAATACGATAAACTAGCAAATCAAAATCAATATATGAATAACAATAGTCATGAAAAAACCACAACCCTAGAACGTGAATTTTAGCTCTACATAGATATGGTAGGCAAACAATAAATCATACAAAGAAACATAAAAATTAATAAGTTTGGTGTAAGAAAGATGGAACTTGATGAATTCCGGCCTCCATGGCGGCTCCTTGCTCTCCCTAGGTCGAATTTCCTTCAAAAGGTGTGTTAGATCCCCAAAAGGGGCATTTTTCGCCTATATATTGCGTACAAAAGTCGTGATCCAAAATTTTCATTTTCCTAATCCGATTCAGCTTCAGGGATTCGCATTCACCCCATCCTCCACTTCTTCAGCTTCGCATGCTAGGGTGGATGCTTCGTATCCACCCTTTGTTTCTCCATCTCTGTTGTGCCCAGGTGCGTATGCTAAGGTGGATGCTATGGACTGACTTCACTACTAAGGGTGCACCAACTAGCATTCTTTCCAAGGTTGGATGCGACACATCTATCCTCTTCTCATATAATTGGAACATCTTTTCTTCATATTTTTGCACTCCAAGCATCCTAAATCATCACACACAACTTAATTAGTCATAAAACCAATAATTAACACATGTTGGAATTTTTAATACCAAATAGCACCAAAAAAGTGGATAAAACATGGGTAAAGTAACATCAAAACATATAGAAATATGCCCAACATCACCACCCCACACTTAAAACTTGTTCGTCCTCGAACAAACCATCACTATATTAGATGAAACAAAATTAAGCTCTTATCATTCAAAGCACACTACACCTAGGACCATGGTTGATAGTAACAATTAAGATCTAGCATATGCATTCAACACACACTTCCCTTTATTTTATGCCAAACTTTAAAAATTTTCAAACAAAGACAACATGCTCATAACAATCCTAGCTCAAAAACCGACTCAATGTTACAATGAAATCATGGATTGAACACTCAATAGCGTAGAGAAGTCTAATAACGTAACCACCCCTCGTGAAACCATATGCCCTTACAAAAAAATCAAGGAGAATAAAAAAAATCCACATATTCGAATCAAATACTCAAATATAGTTTAAGGATCATATATCAAAGAAACGTCGCTCACTCTCACAAAGAAGTCACATGCATGCACTTGGTATCATAGGCTTACCCATAATGTAAATTTCTACTAATATAAGCTCGCTCGATCTAAAATCAATTAGGACTTTTCGTGGTTGTAATGTGGACTAAGGGATGAGTAGGATATATTTAGGAATAGTGGTTTACCCTCCTAAGTACTTTAACACATCACACGATAAAATTTAAGTGCAAATTCTTCAATCCAATTCAGTTTCACAAACAAGAGAACACCCCAAAAATATTCCCTCTTTCACTAAGCATTACCTTAATTTACATCCCGCTAGCAAAAACAAGACAATAATTTATTCATATAATTTTTTTTCTTTTTCTTTTCCTTCTTTTTTTTTCCTTTTTCAATTTCCGCTAGTAGTGTATTATTTTACTAAAAAAGTGCCCCTTTCTTCCTTTCATTGGTTTTACTCAAAAGCCACTCCACATTCCCTCCTTACTTTTTCAAGCGTTCATTTCACAATTAAAGTGCTTTAAGAGGTAAAAGGATCAAAAGTTTCAATTAAGAACAAAAGGGTATAGGCTCGTAATGTGGGTGCCAAATAAAAGTATATCGGCTCAAAATGGTTAACTAGGGATAGATTTTATTTTTGATAGGCATTTAAGCTCAAAAAGATCAAAGAAAACCTAAAATTATTTTTCAAACCGAGCATCACCTGAAATTTCGCTTCAACTCACATACCGGGCAAGTTCTAGACTCAATCACAAAAATATGGACTACACAAAAACCTCACCACACATGGCACATGACACACTAAGGACGGTCCCATTCCAACTCTCAACAAATTCAAGTATTCACGGAGCCACGAGATATTAAGCATTAAGCACAAAGTGAACATAAGTCAAGTAAACGAGACATATGCGCCAATAACATGTTGTCTAATTTATAAAGGTATCATGATCAATTTTAAAATATAGGAATGGTACTACACATGCCAAAGCATAAATATGCTAATATCAAACAAGTCAAGAGCGCCTAGGAATCTCATACTTCTTCCTCCATTTATTTCTAAACTCTAATCTACTCTAAAAGGGAAAAACAATTCCTACCCGGTTCAAACTAAAACTCATGGAAAAGAACCAATGCACAAAGAAAAACCACGGAGGATTATTACTACCTAAAGGAAACTAAAAGACATATTTTTGAATTTTTATTTAGACTTTAATCCCTCAAGAAAACTATTTAGGAGATCCATCATCGGGATAAGTCCAATTTTTTTTTTTTGGAATTAAGCTACTAAAACTACTACTACTATACTATACCATTAATTCTACTAACTATGCAATTAAAAATAAGAAGCTAGCTATAAAAAGATAAAAAAAAAATTAACAATATACTAATATAATACTATATAAACCATAGAGAATTTTCCACCCCACACTTAAAAGAGTGCAGTGTCCCTAATGCATAAATAAAGCAAAAATAACAAGGGTGAATAAGAAACTCCCTGAATTACCAAAGGCCGAAGCTATAGCAGCTCACGTGGTACTCAGACTTCTCCCAAGGATAGTACTTTGTGCGGTTACCTCACACTAGTTCCAATCATCTAGCTTGCTTTTGTGCATCTTATGGCCTTTTCTTCGTATGGTGATAATCCTACAAAACAAAAATAAATACTAGTAGAAAAATAATACAATAAAAATAAAATAAGCAAAAATAAAAGAAAGGAGTAAAGTTGGGTTGCCTCCCAACAAGCGCCTAATTAACGTCGCAGAACGACGTGAACTACTTTTTCCTCCACCTCGAACTTATGAATTGTACCTCTAACATGACATCCAGTCTGCAGCTATGCTCCAGTGGTGGGGCTATAAAGATAACCAGGGCATGCAATAAAATTTTCACTCTATACTTCTGGGCCTTTATATGAGGAATGTAATTTTTTCTTTCTGGCCCGACAAATCCAAGAATGTAAGCAGCTTGTCCCTCTTCCATTGACTCCTCCAAAGGTTCAGATGACTCGATTTCCATGTCATCATCCAAACACAATGTCGAAAAATATTTAGAATGAGGACCAACACGCCCCAATTTTGGAATTGTATTACTATTTACATTCTCATATTTACATGCACTAGAGTCTTCAAATATAACATTATCTACTCTCTCATGTGACTCTAGAACACTCTTCCCAACATTGACATCCTCAAGAAATATATGGTCTAATAATTGGTATTCTCGTTTTAACTCCTCAATTTGGTCTAGAAGATTTTTTTCAGTTTTACATAACTCATCATTAAATTGTTGGGCATTGAACGCATCAACCTTTGCACTCAAATATGCATCCAAGTTGTGCAAAGCCAAGCCAAATTTGTCAATTTCTTGTGCAAGATCAACTATCCCCTTCGACCAATCATTCACCAATTTTGTTAGAAGATAACGTCGTTCCTCAAGTTCCCTTAATCGTGAATATTCTTCCCAATACCAACCCTTGCTCCCATATTCAAATTCAGACCTCCTAGAGTTCAGGTCATGACAAGCCCAAAAAGACGGGCCATAAAAGTCTTCCGTTAACCAAGCGTCTTTATCAATAACCTTACCTCCGTATATTCATCCCCATATGTCATGCTGAGAGAACTAGAAACACACTAAGAGAAAAATTAAATAGTTAAAAAAATAGAATATTTACAAAAAGAGAAGGAAAAAAAACTTGTAAAGATAAAAGCAAAAGTCTAATATAGAAAAATAGTTAATTTCTAAGTCCCCGGCAACAGCACCAAAAAGGCCAAACGCACACGCAAGTATACGCGTTCGTCAAGTAATAAAGTGACTAAAAGTTGGATGTCCAACCCACAAGGACTTGTAATTAACTATTAAATAAATTAGACTATCCTAATTATCTGAACAAGAATTAAACCTAAAAATATTTGATTCTAAACTAATTAAAATAAAGAAAAAAACAAATAATGAACGTTGAACAAAAGAAGAGCAGATTTTTATGTTATCAATATGATGAAAATGATCTAGGGTTGTGGGATATCTAACACTCCTATTGTATTCTTCAATTGAATTGCCAAACTAATTTATCTAGTTTATTGGTTAACAAGGTTAATATTGCTCATAAGAATCTGTTG